AAATTAATATCTCTCCCATTTTTCTAAAATCCCAATAAAAACTGAAATCATCTCTTGTATTTGTTTGCTGTTGTCAATAATTTAAGATGGAGGATAAAAATCCAAGTGGAACCTGTGAACTGACAGATGATAGAGATGAAGAATATGATCGATTAGAATTCGAGACGATTGAACGCATTAATCGTGGTCTGAACAGTCTACGATACATCTCATCAACCGGTGACGAGAACAGTCTGGAACATCTCCTGGAATTATCGGAATTATCAGAATTTGAAAGTCCAGATGAAGACACTATAGAATTCGTCGAGTCATTCGTAACAGACCCAGGAGAACAAAAATTGCTAATCGAAGAGGACGACGACTTCCTGACGGAAATCGAGAATACAGGAGATGATAGTCTGAGTTGTTCCCAAAAGATAAATCCCCTCGAGGAAGTTAAAAAATCATCAGAAGCTCTATCAGCCATCGAAAGTGCCACCTCACACCATGAACACTCAGAAATCCAAAGTGAATCTTCACCAGGACAATCAAAATACTTCTTCTCCAATTTATTCAGCACCAGGAGAGACTCGACGTCATCATCTGCATCATCGTCCGATGGAAAAAAAACGTATCTCTCTCGTTTATTCAAACGTAAGAAGTCAGAGCCAGCGAGTCCAGTGTCGAACGATTCAATTCCATCATGCAACTCTGAAAATGACGTACAAGAAGTGGAATCATCTCATCTCACTGTTGCAGAACAATTGATCCAAGATACCGAAGCTCAGGGTCCAGCAGGAACTCCTCACTTAAGTTCATTAGCAAGAGTGGTTGGTCGTCCGATCCTGGCTTTTTCATCATCCATGTCCCTTCGTCATCGTGCTGGAAGAGATATGAAAGGTCCCCCTGTAAACATCCAATTCCATTCAGCCAGACCAGGAATGGCTACCGGTCACTGGACCCTTCTGGAGAATTGTGATCCAGAAGGAATTCCAGCGGTTCTTAATAATTGTCTTTTCAACGTCGTCTGCGCTCAAACATCACGAAAACCCTCCGACCTGCGTAAAGAGACAATCAGAGAGATGCGAAAGCACATGAGAAGTCTTGCCAGGAGGATTCAGGTGATGCTGGAGCGGGAGGAGTGTGAGGGACTTATCGTGTTAATCGGTGGAGCTTCTTATTCAGGAAGATCGACAGAAGATGCTAGAAGGGTCATCGATGATTCTCAATCGGGGAGATGTCACCCTGGGCATCAGCAGGGGCATCCTCGAGGACATGCTTCGTATCCAGGCGCCACTGGACAAACAGAAAGTGCGGAAAATTACTCGAGAAATGGATGGAAGACTGGGTTTCTCTCCAGACATGATCAAGATGATGTTGGGCATATGGCCCTGTCTACACGAGTAGCTCAAAGAGCTATGGGGTCTCTTAATCAAGGATCTGAGAGTCAGGCTGTGCATATAAGTCCTAGTGAATTGAGTGGATCTCTGCCACAAGCTGCAGAGTTTTCGAATGGCCAGCAGGGACCACCCAGACCAATTAAGCAATTGGTATTGGTACTTAGGCATCATGCGGGTCGGGCTAATGATCCTGATTACCAAGTTTTTGTTCATACCTTTTATCCTAAGGTGACGTGATCTGAAAGAAATAATTAAACTCTGGTTAATCTGAAGTTGATTTTGAGGCTCTCATTTTAACAGATATCGAGAGAATTTTAATTAAATTAATAAACATTTTTGACATTTTTTTTTAATTATTTTTTTAATTGGGAGATCTCACATTTTAATTACTGGAGTAAAAGTTACTGTGTAATTAAACGATTTCAACGCCAAATTTTGTTTGTAGTATAAATATTTTTGAAGAGAAAGTGCAGAATAAAAATAATTAAATAACTGTTACGTATTTTAACGATGCAAAGTATATAGGAGGAAACAGAATAGGTGACGATTTTTGGTTGATATATTCGAACGTTTTTCGATCCATTGATGAATTTTGGATTAAAATCGTTTAAGGCTAGTAATTACCAGACCAGTAATTGAAATAGAAAATTTATCTCAATCAAGAATTTTTTTCTGTAGCCAAATGTCTAGAAACGCAGATATAAAATATAAAATTTTGAGGAGGAATTCCTGTTAATATTTTGGGGAATGAACCATAAACATAGCAAATTCTGATTATTTTTTATACTAATT